CACACACACACACCCCAGGCATGTGTTTAGGTTAGTGGCAGCGCAGTGGTTTGTGCAAAAATGTGCAAAGACATATAGCCAGTTCAGTGGTGAGGTCAGCCTGCGGCACGTTGGGCGAAGACGTCGGTGAACTCCCGTTTTTCAAATGCATTCTGACGTCTGACTCAGCCAATATTTGTATGAAGGAAACAGCATGTTTACATATGAATTTATTTATCTCACTATATAACTGTGACTCGTATGTCTTTTGGTGTTTCTTCTGAAAATGGCTGCCTTCATTTTCCATGTGTGCATGCTTGTAACGTTTAATCACGTATATTTATTTGTATGTGTCTGTGTCTTTTCTACAGGGCTGGAATGATTACAGGTTAATGTGGGATCCTGATGAGTACGAGGGAATTAAAAAAATTCGACTCCCATCGCAACACATCTGGCTGCCAGACATCGTCCTCTATAACAAGTATGATGGCATTTCTTTATCATCTCACTTGTATTTTTAAGTAATTAATTACAGACAGTCGATTTGAATTWATGAATAAAAAAGTMAAACTCCTGAAGCAACAGATTTCAGATTTTGTGAAGCTATCTCACCACAAATAATGTTTAGTACTGGCAGAGGTGAAACCATCCCATCAGGTTTAAGAAAAGAAACTTCTAAACAAGCCTTTATGTCAGGGCTATTCAGCTAAACATGCTCRGTGGGCTGCCATCTTTATTTGGATTAAAACTTTTGCACAGCCATGATGTCTTCTTTTTTATTTAATAAAATTTGTTTATTTTGTTGCATTAAACTATACGTTTTAAATTAGCAATGGATTTTAAATCTGTTCTTATATTAAATTCAGAAAATGATAGATAAATACTAATTTCACTGGTTAATTGGYGGACCGGAGAAGTCACCTGCAGGCCGAATGTGACCCCCCAGGCCGCCAGTTGAATAACCCTATTTAATGTTTAAAAACTCATTTTAACATGCTTACAACTRTTAGTGCCAGGGTTTGAAGGAGGTTTGGACCCAGGGAAGCAGACTTACTACATTAAAAAAAAAAAGCTGATGTGGCAGCAGAACTTACAAACCTGAAGATGAGTCCAAGGAGGCACAAGGAGACGTGGGGATAAAACAAATATGGCTCGAATAATGTGCAATACMCAACTAGTGAAGGGAAGTAAAGCTGAGGAACTAAGCGGGCTGATGAGAGAAGTGGCTGCAGCTGAGGCAGGTGGAGTAGGCGTAGATGGACGTGACTGACAGGTAACAGAAACTAAACACAGGGATAACAAAACACAAAAAATAAAACAGAACCAAAATTWAATAAACTTAATAAGACTAGTAACAAAATGAAATTGAGAACTTTAGTGTGTCATATCCTCCTGATTGTTAGTTTTTATGAGCACACAGTCAGCGAAGACACCAGAAGAGCACAGTGACTGATTATGACAATATGACTTTAGGTTAAAACCTCTCAGTAACTCTGAGAGACCAGAATCCACAGCTTCTGCATTTTAAATGATCCTGGGYGTACACAGCAGCCCCAAAGCTTTAAAGACCAAGTGTGATTCCTGGTCTACTTTATAATTGATAAGACTTCAGTTCATAATGCATCAGCTTCACCTTGATCAGGTGGAGAACAAAAAGTCCGCCTCAGCAGATTTGGTTTAGTTGCTGGTCTGTGTTCCGGGCAAAGCTTTTCCCTCTACATGACCTCAGTTGTTGCCTGCATCATCTCTAGGACAGTAAAACACACTAACAGTTGTGAAAACTAAAACCCAAACACAAAGAACATGAGCTGTACAACACAGACACACAGGTACAGAACCGAAGTCCTTTAATCAGGTGTGACTGAACCTCACTGAGATGTTTAATGAAGCGTAAGATTTCTGCTTTAGAAGTGGTCACACCTTCTTTAACAGTTTTATTGTGAACTAACAGACGACACCAGATAAACAGTTAAATCCATGTGTTTAATTTGCTTCACTTTATTTAATCAGGACAGTGTGCAATTAAAACATAAAACATTCAATGCATTGCACTAGATTTAACTTTCAACTCRTTTTCATCTGTATTTCTTCCAGACAACAAACAAATACTTTTGTCATTTAAAGTCTTTTTCCTGGAAATAAACTTTCATGAACAGATTCATGCAACTGAAGCCCTAAATAYTGAAACTCAGAATTGTTTAATACAGTATATTGATTCTTTTTTCATTTCAGTTTTGCCACAAATATCTTAATTTCTAAGTTTTGGGCAGCTGTGGTGAAATGGTAGGACTGCCAACTTGGGATCAGAAAGTCACAGGTTGGATTCCCTGCCATGCTATCGTGTCTTTGAGCAAGACACCTGTTCCCTAACTGCTTCCTGGGTTCCTAAATAACTGCCCTGTTCTCCGTTTGGGTGTATCTTTTGTGTGATGACAAATGCAGATTGTGCTCTGCATTTCGTCATAGCATTGGATTGTGCATATATTATATATTATAATAGATTTATTTTATTATAAATAATAATAAATGTATAAAAAGAAATGTTTGCAACATTTTTACACAAATGGATCCTTGAAGATTCAGGGTTTATTCTACTAGACGTGTTTATATGTTCAGCTGATGAAGAGAAAAGTTGAAAATGTTCCATCGTTGTCCCTACGTGAACGGTTTGGATTTTTTTAAGTTAGGTTGATGAGGAGCACCTAGAAGCAGTCAATATCTTACCTGCAGTAGACGGGTCAGAACACCTTCAGTTTTAAGAGTCATGATGAGAGAAACTAATTGCTACTTAAAGTAGCTTCCACCGTTTAAAACAAACATTTTAAACTACCTGAAGGAAAGATATATGAAGTATTTTTGCAACTCTACATGTTTGCATGAGACGGTTATTTGTCACTTTTTCATAGCTGAGTTCTGTGTTGCTAAATGCAGTTGTGGAAAAGAGACAGGGTGACTTTTTTATATATAAAAAATGTACAAGATCATTCAAAGAAATAACCGTCGATTAGAACTACTAGAAATATTTAGAGTTTTGGTATTTTAGATTTTAGAATGTGCCAATCGGGGAGAACAATTAACTTTTCTCTGTTCTGATCTAAATTTTCTTCAGTGCTGATGGGACCTACGAAGTCTCCTTCTACTCCAACGCTGTGGTTTCCAACAATGGAGAAGTAGCCTGGCTCCCACCGGCCATCTACAAGTCAGCCTGCAAAATCGAAGTGCGGGATTTCCCCTTCGACCAGCAGAACTGCACCCTGAAGTTTCGCTCCTGGACGTACGACCACACGGAAATCGATCTCATCCTCCTCAGCGACTACGCCTCGCGCGACGACTTCAAACCCAGCGGCGAGTGGGACATCGTCTCTCTGCCCGGACGCAAGAACGAGGACCCCAATGACATCAGATACCTAGACATCACCTATGACTTTATCATTAAGAGGAAACCTTTGTTCTACACCATCAACCTGATCATTCCCTGTATCCTCATCACCTCCCTGGCTATTCTGGTGTTCTACCTGCCGTCAGACTGCGGTGAGAAGATGACTCTGTGCATCTCTGTCCTCCTGGCCCTCACTGTGTTTTTACTGCTTATCTCCAAGATAGTCCCACCCACATCTTTAGCAGTGCCTCTAATCGGGAAGTATTTAATGTTTACAATGGTGCTGGTCACTTTCTCTATCGTCACCAGCGTTTGCGTGCTCAACGTGCACCATCGGTCCCCCAGCACCCACACCATGCCGCCTTGGGTCAAACGCGTCTTCCTGCACCGGCTTCCCTCCTTCCTCTTCATGCGAAGGCCCGGCAGCTCAAATATCCGCGAGCGGTTCAGGAAAAAGCACCAGAAGCAGAAGTATTCCGACCAGAGGCTGTGCGGCACAGAGGGCGGGTCGGGAGGCTCCGCGGGAGTGGCCGACTCCTCCTCGTCCTTCTTTGTCAACGAGGAGTCCGCCAAACGCTACGGCTGGAGGATGAGCGACTCGTTGGAGAGCAGAGACCTGAGGAGGAGGATGACGCTSAAGAGCAATATCGACGTGGAGGATGCGGTGGACGGAGTGCGCTACATCGCTGACAAGATGAAGAGTGAGGATGATGACGAGGGGGTAGGTATTTAGAAATACTATCCACATATAAATAAATTTAGATACTGCCTTAGATACTGTCCACACAGTTTTTGTCCTTGTTAGGCCTGTCCTTTGCCAAGAATTTGGTGATATGATACGTATCATGACACGGGGGTCCTGATATGATAAATCGTGATACTGTAAGCAAGATGATATATTGCCATTTTTCTCTCCAAAAGATTCTAAAACAAAGAAAAAGAAAAAAAACTTGGTATAAAAAGGCAAATTATGCATAAAATCTGATTAAACTCTATTTTTATGCAACCAGAAGAACAGTGAGAACTGCATTTGTATTTCACATTTCTTTGCCTTAATTAGAAACCAGCAGTGTCTGCAGTGAAAAATCTAAACTGTAATTCTTGCATCAGTGATTACAAAATAAAAGTTTGGTATTTAGAACAGATTTTTTAAATTGTGTTTTTATAATYTTTACAAGGTGATTGTATTTAGGACATGTATGGTATTTTACTGTATGTTTGATTTTAGATTGTACCTTTGTTGCTCAGAGACTACAGATGTAAATTAGTTAAAGCTACATTCGGTGCAAAGCATTTTTTTTATTAATGTTTTATTTGCACATTGTCCCTGAGAAATAAACTTCAATAAAACAAAGTAATTAAAATTRATACGTCGCTTTTGAGAATCACTACGGTATCAGGAAATGAAGTATTGCGATATTTCAATGTATCAATATTTTTCTTACACCTGTATTGCAGTGTAACATTTTAAACACTTTGTCTTCATTTTCATTATGCTATTTGAGTTTAGTTGAATGTTTTTCTTATGTGACTTGATGATAAAAACCTTTTTAACATCATGTGTGTGCTGTGGAGTAATGTAGAAGAAAAATGAATCCAGAAATTAAGAAACTGTACCATTTTACTGATGACTGTCGCAACATCCCAGTTGGACTGTAAGCACTYATGAATCTTTCTTTCTCTCTGCAGATCATTGAAGACTGGAAATATGTGGCGATGGTGATCGACCGTCTTTTCCTGTGGATCTTCATCTGTGTGTGTGTCATCGGCACCGCTGGGCTTTTCATGCAGCCTCTGTTTGAGAGTTACAACACCCCGATTGTTGACGACGTGGAGCGCAACTGAAGCTGATCCTGAACTTTTGCACTTGACAAGATGCTAAAATAAAACTTTACATTCTAGACAAAACAAATAAAAAAAAAAACATTTGATAACCTTTTTAATATATAAAATTTTGCACCATTACAGAAGACAATCACCAAATTCATCCTTCTTCCTTCACCAGGTCTCTGTTGAGCTTCTGCTTTTCCCRTTCAGTCCTGGAAATGATACAAAAATCCCCAAATAACCTTAAAAGAAACAAGAAAGAGGGAGAAAATATGTACAAAAAGCTGTCTGATATGGAATAATTAACAGCTATGGACTAATTGCTTTGAGTAAACATAACATGAGCCAAGTGATGTTTAATCTCACACACGAGCTGAAAAAACATCATTTAGTAACAGTTTGTTTGAACTCTGGGACTGAGATGCATTTCAAGTTTTCCGCATTTAATGCAAAACATCTGTACATGAAAGTATTTCAGCTGTTGTCACTGGTGATAAAAACTGACCAACAAAAACTCAGGATATACATGTTTTTTTAACAACATTACGGTCACATCTACCATCCCGTCTTTCCTTCTGCATCTGAATTCAGTTCTAAAAGCAATAGGAAAACTTATCTGGGACGAACGCTTCAGTCACTGTTTTTATGACAAAGAAAATTTGTAGTGGAAAAGATGGACTGACCCCCCCTCAAAATAAATAAATAAAATAAGTGCTGCCTTTGCATGCTATGGTTGGAAACAAAGATCTTATGTGATCTGTTAGCACTCAGAGTTAACGTTAAGGATGACTCTCAGCTACTTACRCACTGCATAGTAGCTCAGTATTGAAAGATGGACTTGTTTGTATTAATTTTGTCTTTACAGTGGTTAATTATGTGGTGGCCATCTTAATTTGGGCTGACCAGTTGCAGCCAGTGATTACATTGAGCCTTTTGTTAAACTGGGTTCAGCTGTTCATGAGATATGTTTGCCTGATTTCCTACCACCATGAAAATATAASGTTGGCCTCACATCACTGATGCACCGATGAAAAGAATAAACCATTTTGTGATGATGAGCAGATGTTCTCTCCTTGTGTCATTTTATCATCAACACGCATCATGTTAAATTATAACATCTGCCTTTTAAACAGAGGAGAACTACAGAGKGCCAGACAAGTGCTGTGACATCAGCTAATGTTTTCATTCACACATCTCACCTGCTAATAACCCTTTATGAGAAAGGCTATCCTTTTTTTATTTAATATAATTATTTCAAAGTGTAATTTAATACAGCATATGAGAATTCATAGGTTAAAAAAAGCAGCCAAAAGGCTATTTTTCCATTAAAAAGTTTCTTTTTAAAATAAATTTTCTTTAAAAAAAAAAAGATGATGCTAAAATCAAATACTTTTGTTACCATGGGGCTGTTTCTTTTTCTTGTTCTTATTTTAAACATTATGTTTGTAGAAGCAGTTTGTCAGCATCCAGCTTCTTTTCATTATATCCTCAGTGTCCTGGAACAAAACGCCTCCACTTTTTTTTTACTTTACATACTTACTTGAGTTTCCAGCAGTTTGTCATAAAGCACTTAATTATCACTTCTATGATTGACGAGAAAAACAAAGATACCGTTCTTATGTCTGTTCAGTTATTTAAGAGTGATGGAACACCATTTACTTTTTTCCAGCTGGTCAACCAGTTTTGGATTTCATAAAAAATGACATGATCTGAAGTCAAGCATTAACTGATTAATAATGGAAAAAAAAAACCACACAGCACTGATGAACTGCATGTTCAGTAAATGTTTATTTATCCTGCAGTATTTATATCCAGAACTGTTTCTGCATTAGTCTCTTTCTGAAACACTTCCCCCTCAGTTCACTGTTTGTTTTTCTATCAACACAATAATGTATGGAACATGATAAAAGGGAAATGATTAATATATTCTTAACAAAGATTTTAGATACATATGTGTGTGATTCTTTTCTACTCAGTGTGTAAGAACAGCGTGTTTGTCTCCTGACGTATTTAACAGTTTCATATCATGGGTTGAGGGCGGCAGTGAGGATATGTGATCATTCAGGACGTCAGCTGGAAGTGGAAACACGCAAAATCATAAATCTGCCAAGTCTGTGTGGTGATAGTTTCATCACACAAACTACTGTGTGACTAACTTGTTGTTTTAACYTAGACATATAGTATGAATTACTTCTACAAAAAAGCAGGTTTGTTTCATTTATGGTACTTTTCATTATCTTGAATAAAAAGTTCTAAGTGTTTTTTTTTGTTTTTATTTTTTATTGAATGTAACAACAGAAGGGAACAGAAACATGTACAATACTAATATAGAATATGCTGACACTCAAAATCGTGCAGAAATTTACACATAGCCACCCCTTTTCCTGCGACCTTATTCCCATCACTTCTTATTAAGTATTAT